CATTCATTGCCGGAAACATCAACAATCATTACATGTCCAAGGGTCTCCCCGAAGAGGCTCTTCGTGCTCAATTTCAGCCCTTTTTTGTCCTCCGAATGAGTCCAACTACTTCCATGGGGTCCTTCTTCGAGATCCGCCTTCGTGGTTCTCTTTCCTGCCGGTAATCGCAGCTTTCAAGGGAAAAACAAAGCCGGGCTCGATAACGAAGACGAACCGCTGGCGCGATATAAATTATGAATTTCATTACACCCTCTTAGCAAAGGGCTCGGAGTCGCTGCCGAAGCAGAGGATGGGCTTAATCGAGATAATTGTCCTACTACCTACCGTCCTTAGTCGGTATTAAAAACGCATTAGGCTAATGGTGCTTTCGCATGGTGCGCGAGAACTCGAGGAGGGTAGATTTATTTTTTTTTCTACGGGACTTCGAGAACATCGAGGAGACATTCTTCGTTTCGTCTGCATCTCGGTAACCGCAAACTAACGTCTCGGAACCTAAAAACTGCATTTTAAGGTAATTTAAAGATTGCATTTTTCACTCGTGAAAATTAAAATTGCCAGTCGCGCCCTGTGGGAACGACAAGGGCGGTGAAAATGGCGAAAACGATGAAAGCGGGGTAGACGGTGAAATGGATGAAAATAGTGAAAACGGTGAAAACGGCGAAAATGCGTATACAGGCCGCGAGGTGCCGTTTACACCGCGAGGGGCCGTTTCCGGACAGTCGGATTCCAGTTAATGAACCGCGTCCATAAACGTCCGTCCGCGGCGAACAAACAGAGGAAAATGGCGGCCTATCGAGCGTCAAAGCAAGGAGGCTATTTTTGCTCTCCGACCAAACAGGGTGCACGGTCACATTTGACTTGTCAATCGGCGGAATATCTTGCAGTTTATAAACCTCTGGACCGTGTCTTCCGTTCCCGATAATTCCGCGCGTGATTTTATCGACATTTTTTCGCCCGTCCCCGTCGAAACGAGGCCATCGGGCTACTAATTTCATGAAATGATTATTCACATTTCATCGGTCGCTAAGGATTTATTATTTCACGCATCCTTGATCCGTCGAGATATTTAATATTCAGGACAAAATTGCCAAGGCGATCCGGCCGCGTCCTCGCCAATTTGCGTCAGAGATACAAAGATTAAGTAACTCGGCGATTACTTAATCTCGCATCTCGATATCGGAAACGGCGAATCGCGTATTAATGATTTCTTTGGTTAAAATCATGAATTAATATGCTGCGGTTTATTTATACGGCGTTTGGGATCTTGATATGTTGAAACGAGAGGGCCGTCTTCGTTATAACGAAGTTGAGTCGCTTTTTGGATTAGGAATTACGGTTTCCGGTTTCCCTCGTTAAATCTTTCGAATAGCCATCATCCCTGGCGAGCGGTGAAAAGAAAGCAGGTCCGTCCCACGCATTGACGAGTGGATACAATGTATTATAACGCGATCGATAACACGCTCCGAACCCCCCGGGTCGCGGCGCAGTGGAGCAGAAAACACCATCAAATATGCATCGGTCTCGAAAACTGGCGTTCAAATATGGCGCCTGCCGTCCAGACGTTCCCGCGCTGGCCGCGCGAGGGAGCTCCGCGCGCAACCTTAGTGCGACGGCTGCGCATACGTCGTTCCGTGTGCTTTGCTGCAGCTCGTCGACTTTTCTCTCTAAAGACTCGTTCTCACCCATAAATATCAAGAGACTCGCAGTGTCGAATGATGAGCGAGACGTTACCGAGTACTTAACGCCAAGGATCCCAATTACAACAGTGGGGAAAATAAGAATCTACTCCCTCCATTACTATAGAAAAAGAAATGAACGTTTGATCGACTTAAAGAATCGGGAAATTTTTTAATTTACCCAATTCCAATCACTAGGATGTACCCGAGGATATGGCAGATCTAACTTTTACAGACCCTCGGAATCTAAGTTTATCATCCAAATAACGAAAGAAACTGCTTCTCTTTTACATTCTCTCTTCCTAACGAGAAAGAAACATCTTTGCAACTTATTTCCACTTCGAAAAGAAATTCTACTAAAATTGTTCTACTAAGGTTCGGGAATGAAAATCATCGCAAGACGTTTCAATTCATCGATTTCTTTTTGTGTCGTGACTTTCCTTTGCGAGATTTACCGCGTGACGTGATCGAAGTAATTCGGTGGTGCAGTCTCTTGTTGTCGCGGGAGGGGAGTGCACCGGGGGAGGTCTCGGGAGACCTCTGGGTTTCTCGTGGTTAAGGTGATCGCCCTGTTTCTCCCACTCCCTGGAAGAAAGGGGAGCGAGAGAGAGAGACCGGTCTCTCGACGCAGCGAGCGATAGCTCCGCATGAGACCGCCTCCCGCATCGCCGTTGCCACGCGATGACGCGGTCTGCTGCAACCTGCAGGGCCTAACCTTGGGCAGTCGAGCTCGGCTTTATTTCCTAAACGCCAGAGAAACGCTTTCGACAGCCTCTGGCGGAGTTCTGGTCGCGTCTTTATCTTCGCTGTGTCCTTTGCCGGAGTGCGCGGGATGACGAGGTTAGGAATTTTACCCGGTGAAAGAAAGTCGAAAGGATCGAAGGTAAGTGCACGCCGCCGCCGTGTGCACGGACACACGTGCACTCTCTGCGCAGGTGAGCACGTCGCAACCGTCAACGACCGCATCGCGCGATAATCTCCCAGTGACTTTGTCAACGAATAAAAGAATTCTAAAGTAAATCTAACCACATAAAAAATAATCATAAAGTAAATTTGAGAAAATTTTATTCGGGGAGCACTAATATAATTGTCATAAAGTTGAGACTCTTAAAAACAGTGAGCCAATTGACAAGGCGTCATTCACAATAAAGGACATTCTTGATAATCTCGGCTGTTTCTTACAATATTATCGCAATAATACCGCGAGTAATAAATTCGATGCCGAACATCATGCGTTCGAAACAACGCAAGCTCTCGTATTCGGAACGCACAGGAATATCAATTGACGATTCGATTACCATATCCACCTTGTATCTTAATTTAAACCCATTTACTCCGGTATTTGTCTTGTTCCTGGAGAGATCGAGGGGGAAATTAAGAAACGATCGATCAATTGACCGATTCGAGGGGTCACAACCCCTCGATAGAAAAACTACCAGAACTCGTGGGAAAGATGGAATAAAAAATTAACACCCAATTTTTTCGGAAACGAGCACGACATTGCAGACGACGAGAAGAGGTATCATCGAGGGATCATTATTCATAGTAATAACCATTACTCGGCGATTTTTACACGAGGGTTGGACATCGAGAGGACGATGCCAGTGATCGAAAAACCTCACATTTCCGGACGATTTATCTTAATATATTTATGAATGTATTACTCTCGTATGGAATTGTTTCTGACCCAAACGGAGTCATGGGGGGTGATGGATGGTGTTTCACGATGTCTCCAAACGCGGGGGTTGCGACCCCTCGGAAAGGTCGCAGAGGGCGGTTCGGGCGCGACATCAAATAAAAAATTAACACCCCTTGTTGCGGCGATGGAGCATGAAGTTACGGCCGAGAGAAAAAAGGGACGCCGATAGAATTAGCGAAAAATTATTCGGAAATCGAATTCGTCCGCGGATGGATTTTATCCACTCTTCCTTTTTTTTTTTGCCGAGGCTTCAATGGGATTACGCCCTGTCAATTACTTGACGGGATTACCTTATATCGATACCGATACGGAAATTGCACCGAAAAAATTATTCCCCGAAAAGAGATTTTTATCTGTTTAATTATTAGGGTACACATTTTTCGGATTTTCTCAGGTTATGACTCGGTCGCAAAATTTATGGAACGTGGAGGAAAAGGGGAATTTTCTTGCGAGGTTAAAGAAGCACCGTGGAAACAATTTCGACGTAAAAAGGCTGGCTTATTTCCACTTTCTTGATATTTATAAGCCTTTATTATCTATTCATTACCATTGATGAAGAATAAAGGGGCGCGCCAAGTCGGCTCTAATTAGTCGGTACAGCCCACATTAATTCCATTACGTCGTTAATTGAATAACGGGACGTGTTAATTTCCGCGGACAGCGCGAATTAAATGTTGCGAGAAAATGCAAGAAATATTCCTGCACGTTCGAAGAGGAAAACGGAAGAGCGAAGAGGAAACGAACCGAAAAAGACGCGACAGAAATGGACGCAATTCCAGTTTTAATTCCCGTTTAATTGCTGGATCAAAATCCAGTTTCTAATTCTTCACCGAGACCCCAAAAAACCGATCGAACGACATCGAATTGATTCGATGTACTCAACGGTTGAAGTACCGCTTCTACCAAGATCATGATCCTCGACTGAGCCGCGCCTCGTCTCTTTACTCCAAGCATCGCTGTAATGGAGATTTAATTTTCTTTGTATAGGCAGTACTAAATCAAGAGGATGGCCCAAAATGGACTGGCTGAATTAAAAAAATATATATATACGAAGTAAACCAAGCAATTAAAAAAAAAATGTTTTTCTGGCATTATCCTTCCCAAACCTCGATATTTGGACATCCCACCCAGAAAGATTGACGGTTTTGGCCATCGGAACCCGCGTTACAATTACGAGCTGCTCCTATTCTCCCCTGATCCAATATTATTAGGTCTGTCCAATAAATAGGAGGTTAATCGAAAATTGAATCTACCCCCATCGATAGTTGGCATTATTTTGTTGACATTACGTGCCTAGGATGCTCGCGGGGGGGCGAGAGCGCCATAAAGGACGTTAAGGAGCGGCCTTGAAGCTTCTCTTCAATTATTTGCACGTGCTAAAAGCTAATGGCACGTCCTCGTCGCGTCAGCATTGTCATCCGAAGCTATACACAAGAAACAAAAGCTCGGATATGAACTTTCTCATTAGTGGCCGGACAGGAAGTTGCCGTCGTGTCAGCACTCGTCGATGGGGGGGAAACTTCCCTCCGAAACTCCCCCATGGAGATTTATTTCTCGGATGTCCTGGCTTCTCGGTTTAATTCCCAACCTCGTCAGGATTGTTTCATCTCGCCTCTTTTTTTCAGACCGTCTCCGAGAATGCCAGGCTCGACGCGCACTCGTCGGTCGACGACGACCTGGAACTCTGGGATCAGTCGGGTTTTATGCTAAGAAATGACGTGGACGACCCCCTAACAGGTGCCAAGTAAGTCATCCAATCGTTCTCAAGAATAGCCTGCAATTTATCCGATACAATTGCGAGATTTCGCTCGTTTATCGGTTATTTAAATCGAGGAGTTACCAGGGCAGAATCGAAGCCCATCAAAGGGAGGTCCAGCTAGGAAATAAAAAGCTGTAAATGCTGGAATAGGTCTCTTCGAGCATATAGACACACGCAGTCCCCAGTAAAAATGTAATAAGCGTTTCGCGCGAGATAATCGAATCCGGGATTCAGCGGAAATGGAAACGGCGATCCCTAAATCTCGTTCCCTTGCGGGGGGTGGTCGTATCGAGTCTGGCAGGGTAAACATAAAAAAGGAACTTATTTGTGCGGATAAAAAAATTCTTGCCGCGGGTCGCAGGGGTGTTTACCGAAGGAAAATCGAGAGTTCGTCATTCGTCCTGTCGCGGAAAGAGACACCCCATCGCGTTCGGAATTATGAATTGCCCTTTATCCGATATTCCTGGGGCAGGATTTGGAGCTGATTTACGCGGGGGATATTCTGTGTTAAATATTTATCCGCGGCTGACAGAACGCGCCGGATGGATATAATGCCGGCCCCTCGGGGCTCGAGCTCTTATTAAATATCGAGAGGATGACCTCGCGGGCTTTTTCTCTTTTTTGGCAACGACAAGTGTCTCTTGTTCCAGGTGGGGAGGCCAAGGATGGTGCAGGCCGAGCTGTATACCGATCACCGTCATCCTGATCCTCATCGTCCTGGTCGTCCTCCTGCCCCTCCTCGATGCTGCTGACAAACATGCCCTCAACTCGACGGACTCGAATAATAAACTTGGAATTACTTGCATGGACAGCTGTTCCATTTCCTTGACCGAATCGATACCCCTTGGAATGGCCTATAACGTCTCCTCGACACATCTCAGCACCTTCGATTCCTGGATGCAGCTGATCGCTGCCGCAAGAAACACCGTCGAAATTGCTTCCTTTTACTGGACCATGAACAGGCAGGACGTTTATCCGGACGAGAGCGCGAAGGAAGTTCGTACCGATATAGTCTGTAAAAAATGTCCCACGTGGGCGAATAGAAAAGTGGAAAGAGGAACGTTGATTTTGCGAATATCCTTTTCAAGGGAGAAGAAGTCTTTCGAGCTCTCCTGGAGGCCGGAAGAGACCGAGGGATATCCTTAAGGATCGCCCAAAACGCACCTTCGCACTTGAGTCCCAACGTGGATACAGAATATCTGGCCAAAAAGGCGAAAGCTCAGGTGAGTATGTTCTATTACATGGTTATTGAAATTTGTAACGAGCTCATAGGTCGAGATTCGCGATACACAGACTTCGTGTATCGTACGAATTTGCTCTCGTTAGCGAGGAAGACGGTCGACGTTAAGATAACAAAATGGCGATTGGAGGTGGGAGAGAATGAGTTATCGGCCGGGCTTAAATCACGTTGCTGGAAGACATATTGGATTTATTGTCACCGGGACTCCCTCTCCCATGGAGGAGGGAAATTTCACGTGTTCTAATTAATCATCAGGATTTAATAAACAGGATCGATTTCGAGGCGAAGCCAGGAAGTTGGGAGAATTAATCGTTTTGTAAATTCGAGACCGACCAAAGCCTCAAAGGCGGACGAAAGCGTCGAGCAAGCTCCTGAGACACCTGGGGCGTCCGGACGTAATTAATATCAGGGAGAGTTCGATGGTTTAAATTGGCTATGATTTATCGCAGCTTCTTTTCGATTCCGATCGCGGCTTTGTCGAACTCTCCGGAGTCGTTTACACCCACGTGCTTCCCTGGAATTAATGAAGTATCCCCCGAGAGGCAATTAAAACGAGTGCATCCTACCGGAGGGTCATAATACGAAAGAGTTCTCATTGAGGAGCTTTGCGATATTAAAAAGCGCGTTATAACTGCAGGCCGTTTTTGCCTACGGTTTCCTGAGCGTTGCGAGGAAACTTTCGAGCGATACCATCGAAGTCTTGAGAGCGAGGATTCCCCTTTAATTTTCCTGAACGCTTTCGTTTCAATCAGCTAAGTGGATAGGTTACAGCTTCTCCGGGATACAACCAAGGAAAGAATTCACGTGCTCGGCCTGGTCCGATTATGCACGCGTCGCCGTATTTCGTCTCTAAAAATAAGAAACTCGTTAAGTATGCCTTGACATATTATGGCCGAGTCTCGTTGATTCTAGTTCTTAAAAAATGGTGGTCGAGTCCGTCGGAGTACGTTAAATAATGTTTATCTGGAAAAATTCAAGTCCTATCCAAATATGATTCTGCGTGTACATATGTATATGAATTTTACCTAGTGAATTTATGTAACGAAAATTATTAAGGATTATTTTATTTTTACAGGTACAGAGCTTGAATTTTGCCGGACTCCTCGGCGGGGGTGTTCTTCATACAAAATTCTGGCTGATCGACAGGACACACGTCTACGTTGGCTCGGCAAACATGGACTGGAGGTCCTTGACGCAAGTTAAGGAACTCGGCTTGGTTGCATTTAATTGTTCCTGCCTGGCGACCGACCTCGCCAAGATTTTCGACGTAAGAATATTTCGCGTTTATCCGACTTCGTAGGATTATTTTCGTGCATCTCTCCCCGCGTATTCGTGTACAAAGTTGAACAACCTCTTTTTCCTCGGGTCGAGGAAAAAAAAACTTCGCGGGGGAAATAGTGATCCGCTAGGTTAATCTTGCGACGTGATCCGGTAAAGTTTCAATGTTCTCCCAGGTTTACTGGAAACTTGGGGAAGATGGCAAGGTGCCATCTTCGTGGCCGGAATCTCTCGGTACGAAAATAAATATGGATAACCCGATGAACCTTACTTTGGAGGATAATAAATACAGAAGCTTTATCGCGGTTTGTATTAAAGGCTTGGGAGTCAGGTTTAAGAACTCAGAATACGAGGAAAGTGAATTTTAAATCGATCTTCAGAGCTCACCGCCGCCATTTTCCCCGGAAGGTCGGACGAACGACTTGGACGCCATTTTGCATTGCATCGAAAAGGCGGAGCAGTTCATTTATATTTCCGTGATGGACTATTACCCTCTGGCGATTTACACGCCTAAAGTCAAGTGAGTACAGTCTCCTATTTATAATTCCATCGTTATATAACAACTATTGCATAAATATTACACTTTCTGTCCAGATATTGGCCCATGATCGACAACGCGTTGAGGGCTGCAGCGATCGAACGCAAAGTCAACGTTCGACTTTTAATTTCTTGGTGGAAACACTCGAGGTCTTCCGAAGATTATTTCCTGAAATCTTTAGTAGATCTTTCCAACAGTTACAGAGACGTGACGATCGAAGTGGTAAGTGCGATCCCACTTGTTGCAAGTCGGCGAGATTTTGGATATTACGATATCTCCAAAAATTAATGAATTATCATTTCTTTCATTGCAGAAGAGATTTGTCGTTCCAACGTCGCCGGAATTTGACAAAATACCATTCTCGCGAGTAAACCACAACAAGTACATGGTCACGGATATACATTCGTACATCGGAACGAGCAATTGGTCCGGTGACTATTTTCTAAATACCGCCGGTGAGTAACGAGTTAATATTCCGAAAATCGGTCATGCAATAAAATCCGCCATGCTTTGCACGTCTCGATAATATCTACTTAAGGTAGAGAAATAAATTAATTGTATCGACGTAGGCATCGGTATGGTGTTCGAAGACGTTGGCAGCAAAAATCAAGACGGTATCCGTCAGCAACTAGAAGGTATCTTTCATCGAGATTGGGATTCCTCGTATGCTCATCCTTTGAATGCATCTTGCTTGCATGACGGAAGATCAAGGCCCTCCAGGACGAGTCATCCTCTTCTTATGCACGTCCATCGAGTGCTCGTATAAAAATATCGGTCAGTACTTCCAAATAAATTTCGTTAATTCTCGAGGCATTTCGCCAATACCGATTAAATAGTAAGCTTAACTGATGAAAATTCCCATGTAAATTTACATACTCGATCACTGATTATTTTGATGCTACAATAAATTGCGGTAAAATTGCATTTAATTTAAGTAAAAATGCGCTAATATATACTATTAGGTGTATTTATACATTTTATATTTTACTATTTTTCCATTTTACATTCTTCTATCTGAAACCTTAATTCCGAAGTGTGCAAGCATGTACGTAAATTTCCGTCGATTTTTATCAGTTTAGACAACTCGCAATAGCGCTTGAAACAATTGTTTTGGACGATATTTATACGTTTTTTAGTCTATAAAACGGCATAATATTTGGCGATCCTCCATCATCTTAGTATTAAGGCTTTAGAATGACGAAGTTGCCTAGACAAGGCTTGAAAGTCTCCCATGTAGGATGTTATAAAAAAATTGATAGGATTTTAGAAAATAAGTAGCGAAATTTATACTCCTTGCCCGGTAACAGGGTTAGTTATAATTGAAGCATAATTTCATCTTAATGTAATCGTCTACTTTTGAGACAAGATGGACGAGTGCGTGCCTTGTTTTAAGTGTCCTTAGATAAATACATCTTTTTACATGTTTGTATGCCCTCCGATCGTACAAACGGTACGCGGTAAGTGCAAATTCGAACCGCGGAAAATTAAGGATCAACGCGAACTTTTAGCGGCTCGATGTTAATGTCGAAGCTTTTAACAAATTTTAATAACAGACTTAGCCAAATCGTGCCGTATAGATAGCGCAGGGGTATTTCTTTTCCTTCGGAATGCTAACAGGAAACCGGTTATTCAAATATTGACGCCATAATTTCTAAAGTTAGAGGGGTCTGTCATTAAAGGTCAATGTTCTCTCGTCGGTAAAAACTAGACACTCTTAATGCACCCCGAGCATGAGTTTGTTAATAATTAATATGATTCATGCGAATTATCATATTGCCGAGTAAGTACTTCATGTTCGTTAGTTTCAACAATTTCTCACAAGTCAAGGCCATGCGTTGCTTTGAATCGTAATCAATGTACACCAGACAAATTACTGCGGCATGACTTTCCCGAAACGTGCTGCCATATTTAAACAAGAGAAAATATCAAGTCTTTCATGACGATGCCTTCTTATTAATATACCTCAACCTGGATTAAATAAATTCATGAGAAAAGAACCCGTATTTCAGTTCTTCCTATTTGCGTCATTCGTAAAAGATGCCCCACGTAAGAGGAAAAAAGTAATGCTCTCCCGGGGTCGTTAGAACCGTCATTGTCATGAGTTATCAAGGATATCTCGTGTTCCCTGATGTAGGAAAAATTTCAAGAAAGTACTAGACCGCGGGGAACTTCTCGGAGAAGTGACAAAATTCAATGACTGCGACTTGTCACCGATTATGTACTCGGAAGTCTGCAAAGAATAAATCATCGGCATCGATAACTGCAAAACGAGTTTATCGTTAATAGACTCCGTTGCTCTTTCCGTATATCAGCGATAATTTAATATTAAAGCGGCATAAGACTGACTGCACTTCAACATAATAGTCGTCATTTGTTTATCACGTGGGCATTTGCATAATATTGTCGAGTTTGGTAAAAAGTCCGGCATGTACCGCAAACATTACTTGTGTAAGAAAAAAATCACGGCAAGACAATTAATTACTAAATTTCCAGGATATAAATGCAATCGAGTTTGTGTTTCCTGGCTCTGGCTACCGCATAAAAATCCGTATTTTCCTCCTCCGCTTATCCACCTCTTTGACATTGACAACGAGAAATATTAAACGTTACGCTGTCAGTATATAAATAACCTCGGGTAACGTGGAAGAATGCAGCTAAACAGATTATGTCTATCAACGCTGACTTTCGTTCATATGCGCATGATATTAATTGCGATGACAGCCAGGCGATTTCCGGCAGCCCTGAAATATTCGCATCCTATGACATGCTTTCAATCCTAGAAATTTCAGAGCGAATCCTCGCTGTTTGAACCTACACATCCGAGACGACATGCCTGCACCGAAAAGCTTTCTGGAATATTTCCACAGAACCGACCACGGAACGTTCCGTCAATGAGAAACGACTCGTCATTAGACGGCGATAACGCCATTTTATAAAAAAACGTCCTAACAGTAAGATTAGATCCATCAAAAAGTTTTGGAACACTTTCGATAAAAGGTAAAAAAGAAAAACTACTCTCGAACTTTCTGACCTGCTTAATAATTAAGTCTTTTTCCGATAATACTTCAAACTCAAATTTTCCTGCGTTTAGCCGTCTTCGACGAAAAAAAAGAGTTCTCGAAAATTCTCATTTCGGGCTATCCATCCTTGTTATAATTTATCGATACATTGGGCGTCGGTCAAAACGAGATTAATGATTTGACACCGATGAATAGAGGAAAAGCGTTAGTGGCAGAATGCCTTGCGAAAGATTTCGATGGAAGCTTCCGTCCACAGGCCATCATCTATTGCCAATGGAATCACCTGTCATTACGACAGCATTGGCATCTTTTTACAAAAGATACCGTAATGACGGAGCCGGACGTCGTTTTTACATCTCGTGATCAATGTCAGGGCCTGAATCAGCCACGCTTTTTTATTATACACATTAGATCGCGTTAGATTCCGCATGGTAATGATTGAATAACATTTCGAAGAGCGAAGGAACGCTATATCGCTCGTAACTTTTCCAATATCAAATCTTACCTCTGGGAAGTAATCAATACAACGATGAACATCACCGAATATTTAAAATCTTCATGAAGACATTGCGGTCGACTTTGAAAAAAATGTATATATATATTTCATTGTGCATTATTTCTTAAGCAAGTCATCGCTTGTGCAACTCGATTACAAGTATTGACGTCACGTCATTGGAGTATTGTTTTCATGTAAATGTGACATTACTATCGATATATGCCTGCACTGGAAAGACACCGAGAGTGCAATGTAATATGTGAAAACAGACGTCATTGTAATCTTCCGAAAATGACTTCTTAATTGCCAGATGCCCGAAAGGACGGAAACGTCGAGAGCAATGTTCACTGGCGGTCATGAATGGCTTCCTCGTGTACATGGTGCAGCCTGGTGGTGGTAACGTAAACGTAGCGTAAAAAACGAACTCGAGAACTTATGTACTTGCGGTACCTGATGTATAATAAACTGTACAATAATTAATGTAATAAAGCAACTTATTGAACGATAACAATGAGTACGTTTAATTAGACGAGCATGTCTAGCAAACCCTCCAATCGCCTATTCCTGATCCTTGAAAATCACTCGTAGATCTAAGGCACGAAATTCCGTGCCACCTCCTCGGTTGTTCTATGATCCTGTTAGAAATCGAAAATTTCGACCCCTAAAATTTTTGACCGAGAGAATTCCGTGCCACCTCCTCGGTTGTCCTATGATCCTGTTAGAAATCGGAAATTTCAACCCCTGAAATTTTTGCCTGGGAGAATTCCGTGCCACCTCCTCGGTTGTCCTATGATCCTGTTAGAAATTGGAAATTTCAACCTCTAAAATTTTTGCCCGGGAGAATTCCGTGCCACCTCCTCGATGATTCTATGTTCCTGTTACAAATCGCCAGAGATGGAATAGGATCACAGGACAACCGAGGAGGTGGCACCGAATTCTCCCGGGCAAAAATTTGACGTGTTGAAATTTCCGATATGTAACAGGATCATAGGACAACCGAGGAGGTGGCACGGAATTCTCCTCACGTCGGTCCTTATATTTCGCATACGAGTTTTGTCTAAATTTCGACAATTAGTATTGGCATCGCGTCTCGAAGACTCCCCTTCGGGATAAAGAATTTCGAACCCTATTCTAAATATTTTAATTTCGCTGATGCCAAGCCTCGTTGACAAAAATAGACGCCACGACGTACTTCGCGAACCGCCATTGATTTTATCAACGATGCAACGTCGAAGCGATGTCAAACATCAGGGAAAGAATAAAAAATCTCAAAATTTTTCTTCAAATCGGATGAAACGGATTAAGAGAAGTTTACAACGTTTCTATTAGATAACGTCGGAACGGCCGACGTAATTCGATCGGTCGTAGTCCGAGTATCGAATGACGCTTCTCGAATCGATAGTTAATGAACATCGATACGTATCAACGTGGACGTCAGAAGTTTTTCCAATCGGTCGCTCCTTCGACTCCCTGAAATACCGAAAATGATACATAAGATATATTAGGTCGCCTCGGGGAAAACCTCTCAACTTGCGTCATTCGTAAAATCGGCCGGGACCCTTTCCTGTTCCGTCCTAGAAGACGTACTTTACCCTTTCTTTCATCGCAAGATCCGCCTTGGATATGATGTAACCCTAAACACTACCTTACACAAAAATACTCAAGAAAGACAAATCTCGAACTCGAGTCCTTCTAGCCGTGCCGCGCTACAAAGTAAATTCAGTTTCGACGACCCCTCTTGGCGAGCCAAGATGGCGGCCGCCATTTTTCTTTTCCCACGCGCTTGTCATACTTTCATGCCACGCGTTGTCGTACTTTCCCAAAAAATGAAAAAGAAAACCCCGCAGGATATTCCGTTTAGTATTTTACGTAAAACTTGGCTTCCCTTAAGTATCTCACGACTCTCTCAGCGGGCGGCCATTTTTCGTTTCCGTCGTGACGCGCGCTGCCGGGGGCGGCGCGATCGTATTTTTCCCGAAGAAGAACCGGAGAGAAGAGTTCCTCTAATCGTGGAAGAAATTCCGAAAAGATGGACCTATGGGGGGAGTACTTCTCCCACTCTTCGGACTCGTCCGATCGGCGGCGATTTGAACGCCGGTCTCGACTTGTCTCCGGTCACATTGTCGTTACGCGCTCGCCGGTGAGGACCCGTTCCGTCTTCCCCCCGGCGTGAAGATTTCGCTCGACTAATCGATATATATCTCGCGGGGCCCGATTCGGAGAAGCGAGGCCCGCCAGGGTCCTCAGTCCGCTTCAGGATCGCGAATCGATCGCGTCGCTCGACACGCTCCGGACCGCCAGGACGTGGGAGAAAGTGTTGCCGGCTTCGTTTGCTGACATCGAATAAGGTTAGAGAAACCAAACATGCATGCCGATGCGAACCCGGAAAATCTGGCGAATTTGCACCTCGACCGTTTTCCACATGCCCGCGACAAATAAATTAACCTTCGAGTTATTGCGCGGGGTCCTCGCGTCGGCCATCTTTTTTTTTTTTCCTATTTCGGCTATAATATCCTAGATGCGAAAATAATTTTTTTCCTAACGTGAAATAGGCCTCGGGGAGATGCTTTCATGTTTCGGATTTTGCAAAATGGTTTCAAGGAATTTATATAAAAAATAAGTCTCCGGGATGGGCTCCGAGTTGCGAAGACTCGATTTTTTTTCTCTTTTCGATGGTCATCCTCTTTTTTCGTCACTCCCGTGGCTTTCCTGCATGGCTGGGCGGGGAGGGTATTTTATAAAAAAAAATCAACATTCCGGGGAGTCGAGGCGAGAAAATTAACATATCCAGACGGCGCGTGTCGGCGAGACGCGGAGAAGACGTGCGTTTTCTGCGCACTGCGTGTGGCGTCCTAACGGGAGGAAGTAATGGTGGATATATACGTGACGATAAATCGGTTAAATCGAGTTAATGACATTTTGTAATATCCCAGCATCGATTAATTTGGTACGGATCGATTCGCGTAGATTCGTCGCAGTGATCTCGATTTAAAAAATTAATTACGCGAACTTCGAAAACGGTGATTAATTGTTTTCCGTGTAATCGAACAAATGACTGGAGAGGTGAAATGCGGAAGTCCAGGGTAAGAAGGAATTATTATGGATTATGGGGCTCATTGCGATGCGCAAATGCGTTCGTTGAATAGATTTCGCTTCTAATCGCTATCCAACTCTATCCATTGACTTCTATCGGTATGGAATTGGGTTAGTGAAACGAAACTGCACATACCGACACGAGCCTGGAAAATTGTAGAAACTGTCGGCACGAGCTCGATCGTTGATGCCTGCTTTCCTTTTGTCAACGTTAAATGACAATGTTAGTTTCTCGCCGAAGACGAGTGTTTATGAAATTTTCCAGAAATGGGATCCTTGTAGCAGAGTCACGTGACGTTGCATTATTTACCGCCATCATGAAGCACGGTCAAGAATTTGTTTTTTCATCGTTTTAATCGAACGTCATCGTGCAATTGCAAAAAATTACACGCAAGTGTAAGAGAAGATATATGTTTTTCGCGACGTCTTCGATGCACTCTTCGAGGCATTGTTTAAAAAAAAGCTTAGAAATATTTTCTCGACTGCCTCGTCGGTTTTGGCGAACACGTCGTCCACGTTACGAGCACTCGTGACCCGACTACGCCGTTGAATTTACTTAAATTTTTTTGTTTTTGTACCCACTCGGCCAGCCATACCCCCCGTTGCTCTCCACGCCAGAAATATTCGTCCATGGGTTATTATTCCGTCGCACGTTTGATTCGCCTTTTGGGCACTTAGCCTAATTAAATTCATTGGAAAGTCGAGGGTAATTAATAATCCTTGTACCCGAATCCGCCATTTATATCGTGCGCCTTTTCGAATGCATTTATGGTGGCACTCCGACGACACGCATTATTACTCAACCTGCACCCTCGAACACCAGCTGCATTATTTATTGCTCGGCTTTTTAAGATACGGTTAACAGCGTTCTAACGTGTCGGAAAGGGACGCTTTCCCAGGATTTTTCCACGTTGAAGACGATGACGTCCTTTTAAGTCAAAGTTGACGCGCAAAGGTTGTTCAAATTGGGTATGACCATCGTTAATTTTTTCATTTAATTGTTATTCATTTGTAAGGACTTGTTTTTTTTTTTTTATTACCGAGAAGAAAAGAAACCTCTTTCAGACGTGGATGTTTTCTGATCGTTTCATTAAACGTCGGAGTATTCATTGGAAGTCAAGGTTAACGGGCAAAAATTGTTGTCAAAGCTCCTGTAAATAACAATTATCGTTGCCTCGATCGCAAACAGCTTTTTCTCAAGGCTGAGCGAAGGAGGAAGGAGCCTTTTAATCTAGGATTATTTTTTACCGTGTACGTTAACTGGACAATCGCGTTATCCATTATCACTTACTATTTCCAAACGATTAATATTACGGTGTTCACTGTTTTCCGAATATTATTTAAAATTTATAGGTACACCGTAAATGGTGTATAATAAGATCGTGACACGGGTGCCGAGCCCGGTATGAAATTATCATTTTACGTAATGACCGTGTATTGAGATTTACGGTTTGTCGTTAGTTGATAATTTATGGCACAGCGGTAGGTGGGAAAATTATCCCTCGCGATTTTCACCATTCCGGTTCTTGTAAGGTGGTCCTAGAATTTAGACGTAAACTTTGTCCGACTCGGGGTAAGGTGTTAACATCTCCGTTGGATCGTTATCAGAGGACGCTTCCTTGTCGGAGTCCTTTTCGAGGTAAATATTGATATTCATCGACAGGGGGAAATTTAACGAAGACGTCTCTAGGGAGAATTTCTTTTTCAATGGCACTTCTTGCGGTCGTAAAGAAATACCGACGCGTAACGTAGGCGTTGGCTGCACTTTCTGAAAAAAGAAAAAGAGAAGAAATATGAGAGAGAGAGAGAGGCTCGCTTAGGCATGGCCGATCCTATGCATACATAAACCATAAAACGAGGAATGCTCGCACGGTAGCCTAAAAACCGTGCAGCCTTATTGCAAACCAGTCGTTATGCACTTCGAGACGTTTCTTCGCTTTATAAATACCCGATGACGTTTCTCCGACTTCGTTCGTGTCAAGAGACATGTCTTTGACCTGGGAACGCGACGAATGGGGTCCAGGTACCCGATTCTCGAATTTATCCCATCAACTTTCCCATGCGAAATTCACGGTTTCGTCCAAGACTTCCAAGTGTTGACCGATGCAAAATTTTTCCCGCGAATCTATCCGTATGCGAAAAAAAACTCGTATGAACTCGAGAATAAGGTCCCTGAACGTGACATAAGTTCAAATCCGATTTTTACCCCACTTGGAATTTCTCTTACAAGAATATTTGGGGCGAAACTCAGCCGAGCGTCTCGATACCTTTCCGCGACGATTTTTGTAAACTCCGTTTCGTAATTTCCCGCCGATCTGTACATGTCGAACATTCGACAAGGTTTCTCTCGAGCTCCTTCCCGGAATTAGGGAACGAAAGTCGGTGGCCGACTTTTGACGCCGATTATTAACGCGGACAAAACCTGCCGATCGCCCCTTTTTCTCGGCATTTCTGCCCGTCGACGCAATCAACCGGTAGCTCTTGGTTAGCTCTAGGAGGTAATCGTTTTTAGCCCGGGAACCACGGGCAAAAAATGATTACTGCATCCGTCGCCATTCATTCGCTAATTTGGAGAAACGACACCGGATGAATGAACGAGATATTCTCTGGCTTCGGTTCGGGGAGGAGCGCCGATTTTATTTCGACTTTGCCGAAACCTGCTCTACCAGTTTTCGTCATCTCGTCCCGGGGATGTGCCCGGGTCCACTTTGTTCCCTCTGTCGACTTTTTTATCCCGGGCTGCGTCATCGCACGTGCGCTATCGCGATGGCCGTTCCGGCACGATTCCTCCGGCTCGCGGCCGGCCTCAAAACGGAGGGGGAATCGAATCCGAGGGACATTCCCACAACGTCAGGTTCAATGTCAATGAATTCCGTGGAACACCGGTCGACGAACCGAGGGAAACATCCCGATCCCTCCTTGCGAGTCGCGTTCACGGCCGAATCGATCGATTGCGATCGATACACCCGATGGCTCGGCGGCGAACGCACCCCGGGTGCCCTCTGCCAATGTTGGCATTAAAAATCACCCTAAACCTTTGCCATCTTCATATTTTCTATATTTCAAAGTGCCTTTTCATAGCAATCGATTTATTTTTAGTGCAATTCATATTTTTTAATCCATCGAGTTCCCCGTGGTAGATGGTCGGTGCATTAACACATTCGACCACCATTTAAGGCCTCTTATCGATATGCGAAGCCAATGATCAAAGTCCTGCGCAATTTGGACAATCGGTTATCGAGCTTCCTCGGGTATCCGTGTTTAAAATAAAAATTCCACCGGTGCCCCGATAAAGCGCATACCGCAGGGTCCGACGGGTGCATCTCGATTCTCTGACTCACCGAAACTTGATTACTCATTTAATTACCTCTTTAATTATTGCCGAGTATTCCTCCGATCGGTCGCAAGGGTCTCATCCATTATTCCACTCGTCCGTGGCACGAGCCTCGACTTTTTGCGCGCCCGGTGGCTTTGTCAGGTGTCCGGGTGACGTTCGTCCATCGGTCGAGACGTGATCGAAGAGATCGACGCGGTCGGCGCGGTCGACCTCGCCGATATATATCGGGGATTTTCTAGCACATATTCCTGCAGCTCGCTAAGCATTTCGAGCCACGTGTGCCCCGGCAAAACTGGTTGGCTCATTACCATTTGATGTTACGCCGACGCGACGTCGTTATGGTACCGGCATTATGACAGTTTTCTTGGCGAAGTAATGCCAAGAGTTCTCCCTGAAAACGTAACTCGCATAAAGGATGCTATGTCATTCCGAGATATTGCGGAAAATGTGAGAAAATATTTTTTCCTCCTGGCTAATAGTTTTTCCTCCTTAAACGAACCTTTCGCGTCGATTTCTACATTTTTGGAGAACTCGCAGGGTACGTACCTGTTCGCAGCCACCTGCACACCTGAGCTCGGTAATTTCCCGTTCACGCGGAGAGGCTCGATTGTTTCGATTTCAGGATAAGTCCATGAACGACGTAGAGGACCTGCGCGTCCACTTTCTTCGTCGAAGGTGAAATTTTAGAGCACTCGAGTCGTTGATTGTATTTTTACTCGTGAAATCTTGATCAAAATTGTGCACGGATAATTTTGACCATGAGAAATTGTTAATACCTTTGCATAAATGGTTTTAAATATCGACGGTGATTCGCGATTCGTGAAAAGTTTCAAACGCTGCTGAGCAATTGACTTTAAGTATCGATGGTCGGAATTGAACACTGACCATTAAACTCGTGTACGTCCAACTTTGATCGAT